GGAGCTAGGAAAAGGTTAAATAATTTGCTCAGGTTCCCTAGCAAGCCACGAGCCAAACTGGCATCATAATTTTAAATCCCAGGGCTGTCTGTGGCTTGTTTAATCCACCAATCCACACCACTTCCCTTTATAATGGACACCCCCCCCCCGCAAAAGACTGTAATTATGAAAGATGGAAAAATTCTCTGCAAATTTCCTTGGGGGAAAAATAAAACAAACTAAAAAGGAATGTCATGCCTCACTGCCGGGGCCCATATAAACATTATCCCCTTGTGTCCCCCTGGACTGATGACACAGGACACAGTCCATCTGATAAGCCGTCAGCAGATGGCTGGATCCCTCATTGTACCCATTCCCCACCGACGTCAATTGCAAGCAGGAGCAGTTATCAGCACTCCAGACAACAGATGGGATGAGGAGGTGTGGTTGGTCTGAAGTCAAGGAGGCGGGGGACAAAAAGCCTAGTTCTCAAATCTATCAGGTTTTCTCTCAAACAAATCCATCACAGAGCAAATGGAATACACCCATGTATATTCCGTGAGTTCCAAAAGGTGTCACAAAAAGCTCAGGGCCATTTTGAATATGTGCCATTCTACGCTTTCAGCAAAGAGGGAAGAAGTAGGAAAATAAACAGTGAGCCAAAAGCAGGTTAGCCATATTTGGTGCAAGTCAGCCTTCTAACATATCGTAAAGACAGAAAAATAAAATAGCAATGGCAACTCTAAAAAAAGGATGGGGCTCACTAGGTATTACAGGCTAAAAACCAGAGGCTTGGCGCTCTGGGGTCAATAGCATCAATTATTATTTGGCAAATGTCCAGCTGAGATCCAGCCTGCCTTATGCACAGAGACATGGAGGGTTAAACACCATATGCTGTGCCCCACTCAGTTCAGCGCCCAATCAGGAGATATTGACACAGACACATACAGAACCAACTGGAAGCGGACAATTAGACAAGACATCCAAAATTTGATCTTTTCGTTAAGTTCCTAAGACAGAGACAATATAACTGGATGCAAAGGAGATAAAAGGCCACCAGTCTTTATGGACACAATCAGTCAAACTGTCTGGCATTTTAACCCTTCTGCTAAGAACTTGTAGATTTTCGGACTTAAATAGCTATGAGAATCTCTTCCTGCTAAAGCCCCAATTCCCACTGTGGCAGCTCGGTTCTAAAGCCACCTCTGCCACTAACTTGCTGGGTGATTTTTTTGGTAAACAGCATAATCAGTCAATAAATTCATTCCCTGTAACCCATACCTGCCAAAATAATATGCACAAGGGGACTAGCCACACTTGAAGAAATACTTACTGGTGCAATGGGTAAACACCACTGATATTCAGCAAGGGGTTTAATAACAGTGCGTTAATCCTGGTGCTTGCTGATCCCGAGAACCCTCAAGCATCACCAGCTTGAGTTCAGATGTGGGAAGGTGCTGCTGTAATCATACAAACCTCCGCCAGACCCCAGTTCCAGGGCCCTTGAGATATCAGATGAGGCCAAAAAGAAACCAGACAGCAGGAATATTAATCCAGAACAGACCTCAGATACAAGAACTGCCCTTCCTTATGCTTCTAAAGCTGGCGGTCACCCAAAGGCAGCATGGCTATGATGAGGGTCTGTGTAACAAGGCCTTGGAAATAAATATTTTACAGACTGAAAAATGGGAGATAAGGAGACTAACCACTTTCCCTCCAACTCTTCCATTTCCTGGCCTAAAGCAATACTGTCCTTGTTACAAACTTACACTGGCTCTGAGGAACAAGGCCTTTCTATAAAGCCATAATTGAGTCGGCCTGTTGAGAGACACACATCAGAAATGCCTCTGCTAAGCTCCCGCTTTCATTTCAGCTAATGTCTCCCTTTCCTTATTGGGACCTCTGAACTCCACAGAATTCACTGCCATAATATGGCCTAACTCAGCTAATTCACTTGCCAAAGCATTTCTTTGTACTCAACATCTCCCCTGTAGAATACACACAGTCACAGGAAACATTTTAACAACCCCTGCTCCAGGCTCAAGCTTATCTAGCATAACCCTAAAGAAGATAATGCATGCGAAAGTGTCTTAAAAACAGTTAAGAGCTAGATAAATGTAAAGTATTACTAACCATACTTACTATCATTAGTCATTGCTGTAACTGAGTCAGAAAATTGTTTCCAACCATCTGTTGTTAAATTTCTTTTAAGGACTCACATGAACTTTTAAAAATCCATACGTCCCTGCTCCCCAGGAAGAGCCACAGGTAAGGTATGGAATGTTGGATTCATCACAGGCTAAGTCCCCCACTAGGCCGGAAGTTACTATTTAAATGACACAAAGCAGTGACTTAGGAGTAAAGGACAAAACAGTACAATCCTGCTCTGGCTCAAGAATTCCTCAGCCTGACTCTGTTCTTTGTCCCCCACCCTCTAGCTTCAGAGTTTAAGCTAAGCACAGGACAACAGCAAAAGCACAAGTAACAGGAATCAGTCCCTAGTTCCCCAAACATCTGTCTCTCTGCAGCTGTCAGTCCCGAGTGCCAACATCATCTACGTGTGTCCCTAAGGGTGGCCTGGTCATGTGTACTTTACAGGGAAGACACAGGGAGCAAAAGATGAACGAACATGAGAAGATGAACAAGGCCACCTGAAATCGGAAGGGAGGCCAAAAGCATTTCTAGAACAGCTCTCTGTGGCATCCCCGGACTCTGCTTATGGAGAAAAGAATCACAGAACATAGGCTGTCAAGAGCTAGGAATGCAACTCTGCCTCGTTTTGCAGCTGGGAGAACTGAGACCCAGGAAAAGTACTTTCCCCAAAGTCACACAACTAATTAATGCCAGAACGAAGTCTCCAGCGTCTTCTAAAAGCCTCTAAAACCCTCTGCACTAAAAATCATGGTGCTGGACTTCCCTGGTGGCACAGTGGTTAAGAATTCGCCTGCCAATGCAGGGGACACAGGTTCGAGACCTGGTCCGGGAAGATCCCAAACGCTGTGGAGCAACTAAGCCTGTGCACCACAACTACTGAGCCTGCACTCTAGAGCCCACGAGCCACAACTACTGAAGCCCGCATGCCTAGAGCCCGTGCTCCACAAGAGAAGCCACCACAGTGAGAAGCCCGCGCACCACAACAAAGAGTAGGCCCTGCTCGCCGCAACTAGAGGAAAGCCCACGCGCAGCAACGAAGACCCAACACTGCCCTAAATAAATAAATAAATAACTTTATTAAAAAAAAAAAAAAACATGGTGCTGCCAGGTTTGATGTAATCACACCAGCAGCAGCCCCAGTCAGGCTGAATTTAGTTCTTTGTTGACCTTCTACGTATGTGGTTGTCAGAGGCCTCAAGACCCCTTTGTAGAAAAGGCACCCTCTGACCCTCACCACCTGCCAACCAAAAAAAAGCTCTCCTGTCCCGAGAGCCTCACATAGCAGCGGCTGAGATGCGTTGTTTCCTTTCATTAACAAAAAGCCCATTCATCAAAAAAAGGAAAGAAAGAGGACAGGCTCAAATTTACACAGAAGGTCTAGCTGGGAGAGCCCTGGGTTTCCTGTGAATGGCATCACTCCCCAAGAAGTCCTCTTCGGAAAATGCTACCCACTCCAACTCTGCTGGATGCTTATGGCCATCCCATCAATAAGAGCTGCTTTATTCCAAAGTTGTCTACACTTTCTTGCCACATCTGCAAGACTGGAAGAGGTTTGTGGCCATTCACATTTTACAGACTGGGAAACTGAGGCTAGGAACCTGCCATCAAAGGAGTTCCTAGAACACAGAGCTAGCAAGCATGCCGGCCACAAGCAGGCAGCGCCATGCCGATCAGCATCGGCCTCTCCCCAGAGACCGCCCTGCCATTCCGCAACCCCAAAGAGGGTGGATTACCTTTCCAACCCGGAAAGCTAATTCATCTTTTGGCTGCAGGCGAGCGACCTCACATCCCTGGGCTCCACCAGGCCTTTAAAATGGAGATAAGCATCTCTGACCTCCTGCCCCACACAGGGTTATCACAAGGCTCCTGAGAATAACCTTCTACAAATATAAAAGCAATAAAGATGCTAATGACAGGTTTCAAAACTGTCCCTGGATAAAACACACCAGGTTTTCCACAGCCTGAAATCTAAAAAGATTTTTTTTCCCCTTTCTCCTCTTGCTCCTCCTCCATGATTTTATAGTTTTAGAACATCTCTCTACACAGGCTGAGTACAGAAAGACAGTCTCGCTCTTGGTCCTCACCCAGATTATTTTTATGTATCTGGCAACTTTCCTTTTCAATCTCATTTGTTTTTCTTAGCGCCGCTAATGGGAGGTAAAGAAATCAGCTGTCTGGGCACCCCTGGACCGTGACCTCAGCAGAGAGAATAAGAGTGGTAAGATGGAGAGGTTTGCAGGAAATAAATACCCTCTGACCATGGACAGAGAAAAGTTCATGAGTCTGCCTGGGGTCGGCTTCAGAGTGCAGTTAGTAGGAGCTTGGTGCTGCTCCAACACCGCAGAACTCCAAGGCAGACCTCACCCCAAGAGCGTAAACTCCCAAATGAAAGAGTCATTAAGAGAAACCCATAAAAGGATTTCCCCAAAGTACGACAGTGGAGACCAGTAACCTTATGTGACCACCTCCAGGAAAGAATGTCACCAGGCCTCTGGGAAACTAACTGTGGCAGAGGTAATGGGGGACTGCGCCATGGTCCTCCACTGGTGATTCAGAAAGGGCACCTGGCTGGGGCTGGACATCCTGTTTGCGAAAGACCAGGGCAGGCCTGGGAGGGGAGGGGTCGTGGCCTGAGTGCTAGTCTTTCCTAGTGCCCACCTCCACCGTGGAGCTGGCGCATTGTGCAAAGGTAGAAGAGAGCCAAATCTGAAATCCGCACACAAACTGCCTCGTTGGAAAATCATTTGTGAGGGTCCCACTTCCCGCAGGGATGAGGTGCTCTACACTGCCACGTGTCCTGAGCACACAAATGACTCTGATGGCTGAGGCTGCCCGGGGTGGGGTGGGGGGGAAGTCAACAGACTCACATGCATCATGGTGACCAGGTGACAGGGGTTGAGCAGGTAGATGACGGTCTTGGTGGCGAACTTAAAGCCCACCTCCACCCCGAAGGTCAGGCACAGGGCTACTAAGAGCAGATTCTTGCTCAGGCTCTCTTTGCCTTCCTCTGGCCGCTGGGTCACCTGCTCTGGCTGGCAGCCACGGCCACCCCTACCGTCCTCCTTCGTCTGCCTCAGGATGTGCCGCAGGGCCACCAGGATCTCCAACAGGGCCAGGGTCAGGACCACCACACTTTCCAGCAGCCGCTGCTGCCAAGAGAGGAAGGCAGCACAGTCGGGGCCCCCATTGCCTGCAAAGCTGGGGTCCACGCCCCCATAGAGCCAGTCCAGGAGACTTTGGTAGCTATACCGGGACATGATGCAAAGTGGTTCCCCTCGACCACCGTGCAGGAAGCGAGAGCGAGATGGAACACAAGCCCAGAGGGTGGCCCGGGTGGTGGGACATGTACGGAGGGCACACCCTCGCACCCGCAGCCCCCTCCGGACACCAGGGCACCTAGAGCAGGGGACGGGAAGCTACACGCGAGGCCCGGGGCAAAGTGCTGGCTCTAACTTGTCCCCACGGCTGTCTGGGGAGCCCCCCGCGCTTCTCCAGTGGCCACCAACGAGGCAGGGTGGAAACGAGCCGTTGGCCAATCTAAAAGGAAGGAGAGGAAAAAAAAAAAAGGTCTCAAAGAGGCAATTGCATCGGGAATTTACGAGGCGGGGAGGGGTAACTAGCGAGGGAAGAAAAGGAGAACAGGGGCAGTGGCGAAGCAAGCAGGGGTCAGGGGAAGTCGGAGGCCAGGAGGGTCAGGGAGAGGGCCGAGGGGACTCGGCAGCGAGGCGGGAGCGAACCGGGGGCGACGGCGAGGGGACACGCGGAGGCCAGGAGGGGAGCTGGCGGGGCCGGGCAGGCGGGGAGGGCGACGGGGCTGGCGGGGACGCCGGACTCCTCGTCTCAAGCACTCGCCACAGGGGGATCGCTTACTCCTGCAACCGCGTGGCCGTCTCTGCCCGCAGCGAGCAACTTCGCCGCCGACTGG